TGTGATTTTTTTTAATTTTTCGGCTATCCATGCAAGACTAGGAGAGGGGGTAACTCGAGTCTTCTTTTTGACATTGATTAGAGATGAAAAGAAGTGTTTTTCTGTAACTTTTACTTTAATTTGCTTTTGATAGTTTCACGTATTTTTCTTTGGAATAAATTGGGATATTAACTCTTGTTATTTGTATTGAATATTTGAATATGGTGGAATTTTATTTATTGATGTTATTAATGAATGGAGTTTTTATTTTTCCTTTTATTAATTATTGGGTATTTTTAATATATTTGTGTTGTGAATCTCAGTGTCATGTTGAGAATAATATGAAGGTTTTCTATGATAGTTGCCTATGAATAGAAATATTGTTATTAATGTATATTAGTTGAGAATAATATGAAGGTTTTCTATGATAGTTGCCTATGAATAGAAATATTGTTATTAATGTATATTAAAAATTTGTAGTCTACAATGACGGTTTTATAAACCTTATTTAGTACATCAACAAAGGGAAATCACCATCATTGATGGGTTACTAATTACCCACCATGAGGACTTCTACGATAGTATCTAACCGTCATTAATAGGTCTTCAACGACGGGGATCTCACGTATTATTACACAAAAACAACGGGAGTACGAAACCATCATTACACAACAACGACGGGAATGATAAACTGTCATAACCTTCACAACCAATGTTTATCCTTAACAATCAACGTGTAATCATAACACTAACCTGTAACCTTAACAACCAACGTGTAACCTTAACAAGCTACGCATAATCTTAACAACCAACGCGTAACCTTGACAACCAACGCGTAAATCGATTGGCTTTTAACGTTAAAAACTTCTCTTTTCTCAATAACAATTCATATATCCTCTTTTCTCAATAAGAATCCATATCTCAGAGATCTCACTATAATCTTTGTCTCGAAGATTACACAGGTGGGGGGTGGGGTGTGCAACTCAGCAAAAGCTGTTCTTTATCTAATTCAGATAACCCAAGAAAATAAAAAAGGAAAAATGAGGCCCAACAACAAATCATCACCATCTTCATCTAAGCGAGCCAATCGAACCCAACCTATAAACCCTAACTCATCCCCTCGCTCCTCCGCCTCTCTCCTCGACTCCCCTCTTTCGGCCTCGGACAACGTTAAGACTCTGGATGATCTGCAGGAACAGTACACCGCCAACCCTCATAGCTTCCCTTACAGCGTGAAGGAACAGTGCTGGGAGAAGGCGGAGAGGGTGAAGAGCCAAAATCTCGATCGGTGGCGGCGGGACCCACTTGGGAATTTGGTGTTCAGAGATCCCATTACAATCTCATATCTCGAAGATCCTTAGCTGTGGGGGTCCTGTTGTGCGCATCGCGGAAGCGTGACAACCAAACGGGCGTGCTTCGAGAACCAAATCAAACAAACGTCGAGATAAAGGCCAAACAAATCAAAACAACGGCACAAATCCAAACACAATAGTTTTACGTGGTTCGGCAATTGCTTACGTCCATGCGGCAAGAAGGGGATGGGGTTTTCACTAATAGAGAAAGAGTACAAACTGAGATTACAAATCACTCGAAGGAACAAACTAATCTCACCAACAAGCTCTTAATCTCTCCAAACAAAACCCTAAACAAATAGCTCAGAAAATACATTTTTTCTATGCTCCAAATATCCCTAATTTTTCTTCTCCACCAAATTCTCTCTTCCAATTGTTCCATATATATAGAAATCCTAAAATCATAAACATACTAGGAATTCTAAACCAAAACCAAATCAAATTAGGAATCCTAATAACCTATTACCAAAATAGACTAGGAATCCTAATAACCTCATGTTACCAAAATAGATTAGGAATTCTCTATCCAATAATTCTCCACCTCGGCGAAGTTTTCCCAAAACTGAGCTGACACCGACCAAACCAAATGCCTCGCTTGTTACGTCCAGTACGAAGTGAAACGATCCACAACAACGGACTCAATTCACAACAAGTCGAGACCCAAACGGGAGTGCGAACACTCACCCAAACATCGGTATCTACTCACCAAATCGGCTACGTCATAAATGACTGCCTATGTATCCTCTTGTCCAAGGAATCAAGCATTCACGTAGTTCACCCAAATGGCCTCCAAAAACCTCAATCCACTAGAAGAGTTCGTAACCCTTCTCCAATATCACGATCAAGTCTGCGGCTGATAGTACCTCCAATGGCTCCAAACTGAACTAATCCAAACATCTCCACCTGAGATGAACCAATGGTCATATCCAGACTACATCCATCAGCTGTACTCAAATCAATCAACCTATCATCTGCATCCAAATCAACACGATTCCCAATCTGTGTCACATCAGCTGAAATCCCAAATGATGTAGTATGATCTGGAGTTTCCACCCAACGTGGAATAGCATCACTCTCCACCCGCTACAATGTCTCAAAGATCTGATCACCACTCTCCACCTGCTGAGAGTCAAACGTGACATGCCTGCTCAGAACAAAGTCAGAAGCCAATACCTGATAATCAAACACGCCTCTGAATCCCAAATGTGCTATCAGATCAAATCTCACATCCACGATGTGACCGAGTGCTGTGTAGCCAAACATCCGACGCAACCCAAAATCTGAAGTAGCTCCACCAGATCCCATATCTATACATGCAACAGTCGGCAACCTATACATGAGACGGCCTAAACATGTCGTAGCCTGCACACCAATGCCAATGCTCGACATCAAACGCCAATCCTCCTCCAGAAAGGAACAGCTACCTTAATCTGTCATCTCGCCTTGTCACCTCAAAGTTTCCACACCAATGAAGTGTCTCCTATTGCCGTGAGCTCGGTACAAATGCAAGAAAGAACCCCTACCATAATCAGAACGTCGGGTTACCTTTCTACCAACACACTTCCTCCATCTGTTGCAGGCTTCTAGGACTTCACACCAATGAGATTTGGTTGCAACCCACAAATGCCTAGTATAATCCCCAACATAGGAAACCAAAATACCAATTTACCTTCCAATGATGCCTCCTTGGAAGGCCCCTAAATGTCTGAATGAACACCAAATAGAAGATCCTTCAATCATCAAATAGAAGTGTCAAACTCCACCTCGGTTTCCTTGCTCATACCAACGTGCTCAAAAGGACTTCAATATGCAGGTCAAGGGTACTTCTCAATAATCCAATGCACCGTATCAATAAACAAATAACCCAGCCTCAAATCCTTCTATCTCGGCCAACTATCTCAAAGCACCAACAAATGAAGAATAGATCCAAACTGATAAATGAAAGAATTTTACCTCCAAATGAAACCCTAACAAGAGTCTCCAAACGATCTCACCCCGCACGACGGCAACGAGATCCACAAATAGGAAAAATCTCACCTTTATCTCCAAACGAAGCCCTCAAAGAGCCTCCAAAGCGATCTACTCCTCCAAATAGCCCAAGCGCCAACAAACCAATGCGGAATAAACGAAGAATAGATCCAAACTAAAAAAGATAGAGTCTTTACCAAAAAGATCCCACCTTTCTCACCAAACGAAGCCCTAGCCGAACTTCCAAATTGATCTACTCCTCCAACCAAGACAAAACCCTAGATCTGAAATCTGGAGCTCTGATACCAATTATTGTGCGCGTCGCAGAAGTGTGACAACCAAACGGGTGTGCTTCGAGAACCAAATCAAACAAACGTCGAGATAAAGGCCAAACAAATCAAAACAACGGCACAAATCCAAACACAATAGTTTTACGTGGTTCGGCAATTGCCTACGTCCATGGGGCAAGAAGGGGATGTGGTTTTCACTAATAGAGAAAGAGTACAAACAGAGATTACAAATCACTCGAAGGAACAAACTAATCTCACCAACAAGCTCTTAATCTCTCCAAACAAAACCCTAAACAAATAGCTCAGAAAATACTTTTTTTCTGTGCTCCAAATATCCCTAATTTTTCTTCTCCACCAAATTCTCTCTTCCAATTGTTCCATATATTAGAAATCCTAAAATCATAAACATACTAGGAATTCTAAACCAAAACCAAATCAAATTAGGAATCCTAATAACCTATTACCAAAATAAATTAGGAATCCTAATAACCTCATGTTACCAAAATAGACTAGGAATCCTAATAACCTCATGTGCCTGGAGGAGGGCGAGCCACTGGGTGGGGTCGGAGGAGGCGTAAAGGTCGATGATGTGGACGACCTTCTCGGCGTCCATGGACTCGACGATGGCCTGGTTGGAGACGAGGAAGGAGAGGCAAAGGAAGGGGAAGAGGTCGAGGAAGTGTCGGCGAGAAGAGGTCGAGGAAGCGTCAGACTTGAGCTCCCGGACGCCGCAGGGGATGACGACGGTCGGGGACAGGGACATCAGGGAGAAACATTGGAGGGGGGAGGAGGTGATCAATGACCATAAGAGAGATAAATGATATTGTAGTCTTTACCTGTGTAAAATTCTTGAGCTTTGTGTTTTGGGGGCTCGGTGCATAGTTCTTACGAATTTGAGGGTTTTGAGAGCGTTGAAAAAATCTTTGGGGGAGCACGATTTCATTGGTTTTGGGGATTAGAAACATTCCCCCCTTTTTTTTAATAGTAAAGAGCAAGCCTACGCGTGAACTTCTCTCTCCTTGCGAGCTTGAGGTGGAAATGGCCCCGTAGGGCACGTGCTCGCTACCCAGCGCGCTTCTCACCTTTACGTATCCATCACTAGCAGCACCTAAACCGGGACCCACGATACCCCAAGGCATGCAACTGTCTCCTCCGTGGGCCATCCCGATGAAATCCAACCAGAACCTGACACGTCATTCACTTCCGAGAGGAGAGCAGAGGGCAACGGTACAGTTGAACAGTTAGGCGCAGCGGCCAGTCATGTGGCATGTTGGTAGCGGGGAGAGATGGAGGAAATTATGCATGATCAATAATATGAAAATACACCAGTTATTTCTTTTCACTTATCTACTATATAAACTCGGTCCTTAGAGTTTTTCTCATCCCTAAAAATCTCATCTCCTTCTTATAATTGATTGATAGATCAATGAAGAACGTGTTGTTGATGATCACCATCCACCAAAAGCAGTAAACAAATGGCCAACACGCCGCCATTGTTCGTGTGTATAAATATATTTGAGCTACAGTACTTTGTGAGGTGTCTATCAAGTATCTTCAAAGCTAGCTAGCTCTCTTCTCTTCCCTTCCTTATACTAGTAAGTTTCTTCTATTGATTATTCTTTTACTATACATAATTGCAATATTATATCATGGTGTCTGCAATACTTCAAGTTAAGTGCTGACTAAAGTGAATCATAAATATAGTTAATTGTTCATTTTCTTTATTTTATTTTGAAAGGAAAAAATGGAGAATATATTTCTTTATGTACGTACCATTTAAAGGTTTTTAGTTAGAAAAAATTGCATAATTAAAACATTATATTTCCTTAATGCCTCATCAAAATACTAGATGCTTCTTATAACAAATTAAGAATCTATCTTTTTTTTTCCTTTGAAGTTGAATTGAATCTATCTTTTAATTTGTTTCTTTGAAGCTAATAGAATTAGCATAATTAAGTCTTATATTCTCATACATAATTAATTAGTTCAGCATGTTATTGCATTGGGTTTAGCAGAAACTTAGTGTTATAATTACAGCCCCAAATCTATATGCTTAATTTTTGTATCCTGACAAGTTAGGAGGACTAGAATTTGACTTATAGTTGATATTTAAGGATTCATCAACCCCGGTATAGGCCCTCTTAACATTTAATTTTTATTTTTAGTGGCATTCTATATGTACATAATCCAATTATTGAATTTGAAATCCAAACTTGAAAGAAAATATGTCACCTGATTTTGATACAGAAAACATCGAAGGTACTGAGAAAATTGTACAACAATAAAACCACAGGTCGGCCTTGTAACATTTGCATGGGCCACCCACAAAGTTATAATTTGATGCTAGCTAGCTGTCCATGAGCTTTAAGCTGCAGCCTGGCTCTGATCAGAATCCGACCCTAGCCTGGTCGGCAGAGACTGGTGCTTCCGCATCTGACACGTGCCCTGAAGTTTTGAATGAGGGGCTGTTTGGATGGGTTTTTTGGATGGGTAAAAAGAGGGAAAGTTGCCAAAAATGTTAACTTTTTGGCAGTTTTCCTCCAAAATTACCTCTTATAGAATTGATTTTGAGGAAAAACTGTCAAAAAACTGACATTTTTGACAGCTTTCACCTCTTTTACCCATCCAAAAACCAGAACCAACCAGCCCCTGAGCGTTTTTACGTGGCACGAGATTTTTACAGTTTTACACGTGTGTGTCATAGAGCCAGTTGGTTTACATTGGGTGGGGGTGGGGGGCGCTAATAGTTGGGCAGAAGTTGGGCTTACATTACATACGGGGGCCAAGAACTTCTCAGCTGGGTATAAACAATGCTTTGCCAAATTGTTAATGAGCTACTAGTTGGAATAATGACCGACCTTTTATTGGTAGGCCCCATCATGGGATCTTGTAGTCGACATTGATAATCCAAGAGGGAGCGTACGGGTTTGTTTGGGGATCTTCTACAGTTCGATTTGTTTGACATGCATGGAATGAATCGTCTTAATTAATGAGGGGTATCAATAGACTTTTTTTGCATGCGAGTTGCACCTGCACTGTTTTATTAAACTAGAGTTATAGTTATAACCGTTTGGCAAAGGGTTCATGGAGAGGGATTAAAGAGAAGGATTAATGTACTTAGCCTATTTGATAATTCGAAGGACTAAATTATTAATCCGTTAAATAAATTTTATTTTAGCCTTTATGATCAGTTTTAGTGTTTGGGAATAACAGTGATTTTGACTATTTTCTTTATAATTAGAAAGATTAACTCTTATTCCATCTAAATAGGAGTATTAGTAAACCCCTCATTTTGAGGGGTTAACTCATTTTAACCCCTCTAGAGGGGTTAACTTAAACCTTCTATATTTTTTTATGTTTGGCAAATTATGAAGGGTTAACTCACTTTAACCCTTATATAGATTTGTTGTGTTTGGCAGGTAATTAAGAAGATGTTAAGTCTCCTTAACACCTCACTTAACCATTTACCAAACGGTACCTTAATGTTTTCTTAATCTTTTGAATAAGTGGTTACGTTGCGCTATTCCAATAGTTAGCAATGACAGAAAACTAGGTAATGGTAGGCGTGTTAAGATGAGTACAGTATACAGGTGAGCATCGTTGTAGGGATAGCATTAATTGTGAAATCGATTATAAAAATATGTTATAGGGTTAATTGCGAATATACCCCTTGTTGATCCTGCACTTTCGCCCATTTGCCAATTAATTTGGATAATTTCCAATACAAAAAAGTAATAATGTAGAAATCAATCCTTTGAGTTTAAGCTATTGATTATCTAATTGGTAGTGATATATTCTACATCTAAAACTCACATACCCCGTTTATAATTAAATAGTGGTTAGAAAAGATCACGTACAATCACCCAGTAAAAAATTAATAGTTATAATTAAGTAATGATCCCTCCACTTCTTTTTTAATAGTGAAGAGGATCCAAATCATTTGCCAATATACACCATAAATGAATTTTATTGACTCTTTTACCCTCGATGTATAGTTGTCAAAAGTTAATTTTCTCTTTCCTTCAGGGTAAAAGAGTTAAAAAAATTTCCTCTCAAAAGTCTATTTACAACTATAGAACGTACGTAAACGAATTAAAAAAATTTCCACTCAGAAGCATATTTACAACTATAGAACTACATGGTTGGGTACAAAACTGGGCAATAGTACAAGTCTATCCGCAATTAACCGTACATAAGTAACTATAACGATTAAAGACAGCTATCATGAGAATGACCACATATTGCTGGAGGTGGGCGTGAGGGCGGGTCGGGTCGGGTCGGGTCTGATCCACGGCCAACGGGTCATGGATCGGCTCATGAGTTTTTTTTAACTTTTTTTATTTTCTTAATTTCTAAACTATATTAACTTCGTATTAATATCTATTAGATTATATTAAAATTAATTTTTCTATTTTACTCTTTATTTAAAATGATATATATACACACACATTGTACAAAGATAAACATCGCACAAAAAACATCGTAAATACAAAGATTACATGGTTCAGACTTCAAAAGAGGACCTACGTCCACAGAATATTAATAATTTTCCTTTAGTTTAAATTTAAATTACAAATACAAGAGGAAAAAAGAAACAAATATTAACTAAAAACTAAAAACTAATAATTAAAATTCGAGGTTGGGTCGGGTTGGACTAGGCTGGGTCGATGGCAGGCCGGGTTAAGGTGGGCTAGGCCTATTTTTCTAGTCCTGGATCTGAAGTTGGACTCAACCCGGCCCGTGATCCTCGTATATATCACCGGCCAGGTCGAGCCCCGGTCCACTACGGGCCGGACCGGGTCATGACCCATGACGGGCTGGGCCGGATCAGCCCGCGGATCGACCCAGCTCGTGCCTAACCCAACATATGGCTATATCGATCTATAAAGGTGATACTAATAGTGTCGATGTATGTACATGAAAAGGGTCGGAAGAATATAATATCTTGCACTTATTGTGAAATAAGTTTTTTTTTGCTTTTTCTAATCAGATTGATACCAAAAAGAAAGGTAGTTTACACATACTTAGAGAGAGAGAGAGAGAGAGAGAGAGAGAGCATCACATTCAAGCAGAATGTGAGAACATATTTGGATTGTAATTTAATTTTCTGAAGCATTACATTTTATTTGGGTCACTGTTGAGTTTGAATTGGCATTAAATTTATGCATGTAGTTGGATCATGTCACAGTTTGATCAAGAGGTCAGAAACTTAATTGAGTGTGTTAAAAATATAAGTAAGACAGTGCACAATTATACACCCGAAAAGTGTCCGACTCCTTCCCAGAATCCTGCTCACCGACCTTTTTATCAATAATCTATCTAGTATTTTTGTCACTGGGGGACAAGACAAAACCAGTGGGCATCTGTAAATATAGTTAAACTTTTAATTTAGCGGGGAGCTACGAAGCGTTGCTAGAGTTCTCTCCTTCCTTTTCTTCTTTTGCGTTTCTTTTTTATAATTTGAGAGGAGAATATAGCCAATAAGTTATGCTACTACTCTTCTCTCCATTTTCTTTTGTTTTTTATATTTACACTATGAGGGTTTCTTTCATCTAGAACTTTTAGTAAAGTAGACATGAACCTGCCTTGTTCCGTTTTTGGCATTAGCTACGTGACTGTAGAATGTTAACGGATTCGGATCCTCCTCGCTATCTAAAAAATAGTGGACGAACCACTACATAATCACAACCATTGATTATTTAGTTGATGGTTGTGATTTTTTTCTTTTAGTGTAAATTAGGAATGAGTGCAATAGGGGTATGATAAGTGTTAGATTTAGATTGTATAATAACCGCCTATTAAGTAATCAACGATTGAGATTAAAAGTAATGATCTCTCAACTATTTTTTTTGTAATGGAGAGGAACTGGATCCAAATTCAATGTTAATTGTTTAAATTTATTAATTCGCCCTAATTTTTTATAGTCTCGAATGTCAACGAAAGCGGGCAATCTACCTAGTTGCTTCTCGTTGGTAGCCATGAGCAATTTTAGAATGATTAAGATAATCAATTTATTCTGCGCCATTATATCCAATCTTTGTCAATCGTCATCCACTCCATTACCAGGATTGGAATCTATGGGCCGCGGATCTTTCCATCCTCATGAACGCTCTATTAACAGCATTTCCTGGATTGATATATTGTCACTTAAAATGACGGTTTAGCTCAATTGAGAGTAGCTTGGAACTCAAGTCAGATTAGAATAAAGTCAAGTAGAGAAAGATGTTCTTTCTGGGAAAAAATTGTAAAAAAGAGTGAGAAACACAGAGTGAAAACGATTTGAGGCTGCGCTCCTTTCTTCAAGTTTCTTGCTACAGGAGGTAAATACTTGTTTTGAATTTATTTATTATTGTCATTCCTGATCTCTCTCTCTCTCTCTCTCTCTCACACATATATATATATATATATATGGGTATGCTTGGTACCAAGCACAAAAAGTTATGCTTAATAGTGAGGTGTCAAATCCCCCTCCATTTATTCAAATATGGGAACAAATTCACATGGGTAGTGAGTGGATGTGGATGTGACACATCACTACCAAGCATAAAATTTATGCTTGGTACCAAACATACCTATATTTCTCATATATATAT